CAGCTTACAATGGTCATAATACACAGCTAATAGTGAGGTACCGATGGAAAAGTAGAGCAAGACTATGCAGCAGTCCCACAGAAGCATGGCTGGCTGCAGAAGTATGAGTAGAAAACCCCTGGAGTCCTGGAGGATATCAAATGGAGCACAAATCAGAATGGGATTTCACAAGAGCAACTATGACTGCAAACCACATTGTGTTCACGGAAGCACAGTGAGCAAACCAGGAGAAGCCATTAAGTTGGCAGCTGGGAGGTGACATGTGGAATAGAGTGTTTCATTTTTGACTCCGGTAGAGAGAAGATGGAGAGGAGACAGCTCAGCAGAGAACCACCAAGATAATTTGAGGGGTGTGGCATATGAGAAGAGACAGAAGCTGAGCTTTTTCATGTAGATGGGAGTGGAGCTAAGTGCTGTCTTCAGGTGGGTACAGAGAACATGAAGCCACCTTCTGAAGGCTGCATAGGGAAAGGATGGAGGCAAAAGTTACAAGGTGAAACAAGGGAAATTCCAATTGGATAAATAGATACTTCTTGTAGTGAGGATGGTTAAGACTGGAACTGATATCCCAGAATTCTGGATGACTGCAGACATCCACACATTGCTTCTGGCTGAAATTATTCTCTGATGTAGGAATTTCAAACATTTGAGAAAGTTCTCAAAATCTTGCATAAGCAAGCTGAAACATAGACCTGAACAGAGAGTTTGACCTGAGGCATTAGAAAAGGCTTCCAGATTTAGAAACCATGAGTAAGGGTGTGAGTTTGTAGTTCAGATAGAAAAGACGTTAAGCTAGGTAGTGGAAAGTTTTAAGGTTTAAAAGTTAAGATAAAGAAGTAGTTATAAAGGTAATAAGAAGTTTAAAGTAGAGCAAGTAGTTTTGTGTGTCATTATATGATTGGCTAAGAAAGTCCGCACTGCGGCAAAGACATAGGAAACAAAATTAGCTATTGGTGTGAAAGTAGAAACATTCTTTTGTGGCATTAGTTTATTGGCTAATTAACCTTTAAAAAACCTTGTGATCTGTAGTCCTGTGACCATTGACCAAAAACATCTGGTGAATATGGTGAAGACACTCTCATGATTTCATGAGACTGTAGAAGAAGAATAATAAATCATGTTTTAAGATGTCTTCCTGTGGTCCTGTCTCTCTCAAAATCCTGATACTCTGAGTCTACGAAACTCAAGAAGTCTCCTACAGCAAAAGACTGCCTGCCCTGTATCAGGCTGAGCCTCAGAGAGACTTGGCCTGTATGGTTTTTCTCAGGAAGAAAGAACTGTCCCAGTGATTATTCCACATTACTCTTCAGAAGATAGGAAGCTGGAACCACTGATGAGAAAAGATTTGTTGAAAGATTGGATCTTATATGATCTTATGTCATGCAGACCTAGAGTCAGCAGATTCTGCTCACCATGAAGGGGACCACTTCAGCAATTCTGCAGTCAATAGGGCTTGGAGAGGGGGAATTTCCCCTTTCACCCATGGCATCTCTCTGCATGGATCCTTGCTAGTCAGATTCGGTGTGAAGGGCATAATTTTGCTTTGCTGGGAAAGCTTCATATCTTTCATGTGTGTTAAGTGGCTGAGGGCAGTTTTACAACTAATATAGGCAGCCTTAGAGCAGCACTTAGCTGAAAGCAAGTACATTTTGGCACAATCTTCACTAAAAAAAAGATCTCTCTTACTTCTCCTTCCCCCACCCTCAGTGGGAATATCTGATTATAGCCTATTCACTCGAATTCCACACAGCTCCTCTTTCTTGAGGCCTTTCACACAAAAGCAAAGAGTCACAAAGAGCAGACAGGCACCATTGTATCCCTGTGTTCCATGGCAACGTTTTAGCACTCAGAGAGTTTGCTGCAAATCCAAATGATGTTTCTGTTCTTTATTAATGATATTTCCCAGCTGTTTCTGGTTGACAAAGAGAGGTCTGGTCCTTCTTTGTTACAGGCTGTGCCCTGGCACTTCAGGAGCCCCAGGAGGGTTCACACAGAGCTCTGTAAATCAGGCAGCAGGAGCACAGCCCCAGGGAGAGGCTGCAGACATGCAGGGCTTGAGCCTGTGGATATTGAAGCATTGCATGTGTGTGTGTTGTGCTCATATGATGAGAAGACAGCACACATTTAATCTTACCTGAGCACAAAATTTTTGTCTATGGCAATGAAACCTAGATGTACCTCAGGGTTCTGCCCTTTCATTGGTAACAGTTATTCACCCTTTCTCTCTTAGGACATATTTTTCTTTTAGGCCTTACTTTTCATTCCCTTCAGTAAAGTTTTCATATCATCTTTCTTCTTTATGCAGTCATTATCTCCTTCTTATCCTGACATGTACATTATGCAAACATGCTTCACATTCACACAAGCCCTGCTCTGAATAGATCAGTGCCTTCTCTGCAGTGCTTCCAGCAGGGGCTGTGGGTTGGTACGAGAACACAGTGCAAGGCCCAGTGCCTGCTACTCTCTACCTTACAGTTTCCTTTGGATCTTTATCCCTGACTTTGGGCTTGAACTTTGAATTGCCAGTAGGAATTGTTCCTAGTAGGAACTTTTTGTAATAGATTCTATCTGCTCTATCTATTCTGTTTTATATAAAATAGCATGGATACAGGAATTAAAGTATTTGGAATAAAGGCTAAATTCAATATATTATGTTTAACAAACTTATCAAAGCTGCTTTGGTATTTTCTATTTACAAGGGGCAATACCAGAGTCATAAACCAAATGCATATTTAAAAGCATTACTGGGCTGGACAGCCCTAATGCTTTCCTGCAGTCTCACTGTTGAGACTCACTTAGATCTCTTTGCTTTGATTTATGTTCAATAGCTGAGGCAAGAGAGATGAAGCACAGGAAGAGTCCTACTGAGACCCAGAACCACTGTTACCTCAGAAAATGTGCTATGATTTGGATGTTGTTTGGATGTAGATTTTTTAAATTAATTTATAATTTCAATCTAAGAGGTGCTCCCTGCCATAGATGGGTATGAGAAGAAACAAGAGCAAGGCTCAAAGGTATGTTAATGCAAATAAAGACAGGGGAAAAATATGAGTGGTATAGTTGTCCAAGCTGTGAACTTCAGGAAGTGATGAGGTACCATTTCTAGAGGAAAGCAAAATTTCAGAAAGAAAAGTTAGATTAAGCTTTTCCTCTCCAATAAATGGGACACATGGCACAATGCCTCCTGTAGTTACAGATTTGGGTCTGAAACAGAAGGCATTCTTTTTCCTGAGCCCATAGATGTTCAGTGTTTGGGTTTTTTTTTACATGAAGGGGAGACAGCCACATTGAGAGTTTACACTCCTCTGTATTTCAGCATGGAAGATGATCATACTTTGATGGCAGAGTCGAAATTTTCCTGGCATTTGGAGAGACCATGACTTGCAGAACTTTTAATACCACAATGCCTCTGGTGCATTATGCTTACTAAACTTGACTATTAGGAAACTGGGATATCAAGATAAATATGATGACATATCCATAAAAGAATGGTTTTAATATCATTGAACTCGAAGTTATAGGTCATTCATGTATTTTAATATTATTAAAAAGACATTAAAGGAGAAAGTTCCATCACATAATAATGCCAGTAAGGGCTTTATACCTTGATGCAGCACATACATCTTTACCATAAAGAAAGGAAAAGACAGACATTAAAAAAAATGAACTGCTTCTGTAATTTGACACTGCTGTCAGTAGGTACAGAACGTTGACCAATTTTAAATTCAAGCACCCTCACACTACCTGAGGTTTTTCCACATACCTTTTCATGTCCTGCAGAGATTAAATAGTAGATTTCAGTTCTAAAGCCCAGGCCCTGAAATAAGGCCTACAAATTATGTTGTGCTTCCTAGTCTAAAGTCTGAACACCAGAGAGTTCTGTGACTTTTTTGCCAATTTAACTCTGCACAATACCAGCAAGACCAAGGCCTCTCAGCAAGGCTTACTCAGCTCCATGCAGCACTGCTCCATCACCTCCCCAGACCATCCAGACTGAGGTAGCTCAGCTGTCTCTGTGGAAGTGCCCAGCACAGAAATGCCAGGGGATGTCAGTGATGCTCAGGCTAAACTGGGAGCATTGCACTGTTCCTCACAGTAAGGCTCTGGGCAGGCACAAAGACCCTCTCACTGCTGAGTCCAACTCTGCTCGTTTGTTTTCACCCGCATCAGGAATTTTCCCAGAATGTGAGAGCTGAAGTGTCTGTGTGATAGTCATAAATATTATTAAAAACTTGAAATTTTAAGGTCCAAAAGGACTTTGAAATGTTTTGTTTAATTTTGATTGAGCAACCACACAGACAAACATAATTTTGCCACCATGTCAGCCTGTAAATATCTAATCCATTTCTGAGTTGCAAATATTTTCTTTAGTTAGGGAAATTTTGACACAGAACTAGAAACTTTTCCATAAGCATTTCTGGAAATAAACCAGGATATTCTGCCTCTCTGCTTTTTCTCCTTCCTCTTGCTGTAGAAGCTATTTAGTCACACCCAGGCTCAATTCCCACAGTTCCAGACTGAGGTTTTTCATGTGATCTTCAACTACAAATTTCACTTAGCCTTTGAAATGACTCCAGTTATTTTACATACATGCCAAGAGATATCTATTCCTACCACCCTGAGATTTAAAGTCCTTCCTTTACTGTTAGAGATCTGCTATTTTCTAGAAGAAATTCCAGTTAGAAGCATGGGATTTCAGTTGAGAGAATGGTCCTATTTCTCAGGACAGATGGTTAAAGCTATGGAGTGTTCATGCTTACACCAGTCATTGACCAAAAATGAAGGACAGAATTTTCTCAATACCTGGGACAGTTCTTGGCTATCCGTGGGTTTTGCCTTTTCCACCCCAGCATTCCTTGAGAAGGAATTACTTTATCTGATACACCAGTTGCTAAGTATATTGACAATGCAGGGTCTGCAATTCTTTTTACAGTTTAGTTTTTAATTGAATGCAATACCAAGCATGTATAATAGCATAATAGCAGAAGGCACTCACTTACCCTATGACAATGCAGGAGATGGCAGTTCCCAAAAAGGCGTAGGTTAAAATTGATCCTAAGTTACGAAAAAAATGTCTCTGGGGAAGAAAGTTTGAAAATCCTTTGTTATATAGTAAATAAAAAAGCATTCAGACCAAGTAGAAACACATCTAGAAGTGCCATTTGTTACAACACATTTCTCATATAGAAGATGGAGCAATATTGGCTACTGCTGTTATTTTGGAAAATACAACTTAAAGGTGTTTATATTTTTCCCCTGGTGGAATGCCATCAAAGTTCTCTGTTTTTTATGTATCTGGCCAAATGTTTCAGGATCATAACAGGAGTTCACATTGGAAGTACCTGATGCAAATGGTATCATAATCCCATCCCTTGAACAAAGTCCTGATCTGGCAGGATATGAAACACAGGCTGCTCCTGCCTGCAGTTCCCAGCATTCAAAGTGGTCTCTTCTGAAAAGAGGAAGGCCTAAGTGTTGTAAACTGCACAGTCAGATTTTTGCACAGGGACAGAAAGACAGCAGAATGAGGGCCATGAATCACTCATTTTAATCCATTCCTTCCAAGTCCTTCCCAGGCACTAAGATTGTTAGCTGACTGTCCTCTGTCACTGGCCTGTTGGGTCTACAAGCAGCAGCCACACTCAATCCCTTTTGTCACATAAGGAAAAGACACATACCTTCTTCAAACTATATCCAGCATGAAATATAATGGGTGGCAGCAAAATGTTGAAGAAGATGGAAGGATCAAAGGTCATCTGCTAGGAAGGACAAAAGAAAGGGTAAGGACAAATAAAGTAGCATTTAATTTGATATGATAGTTTTAAATTGTATCTTCTTATCAGGGCTGATCTCAGGCTCACCTTCACTGTTTGTGGGATTATTCCGAGTTGGTTTTTTGCATGTATAAATGTGTAGCTCCTTACAGCTCATAGATGTGTAGATTACTATTTGAAAAGAAGTAGCAGTTCAAGAAGGAAACCAGTCACGTGCTAGATTATAGGGAACACATAAAAGCAGTGTTACCTGTGACAGCAGCTGCCCTACCAGACATGCAACTTGACAGTCCCATGACATAACTCCCAGTTCAGACGTGGATCTCCTGGACACTTTCAGGAAAGACACAATCAGCAGTGTTGTGCCTCAATTCCCCATGTACAGAAGGGTGATAAAAGGCCTATAGCACCAACACCAATATAACATTTCCTTTGAAGGAAATGATTTATAAAATAGCCATTAAAGGTTAAAAAGTAATGCTGGAATGAATTAGTGCACTGCTCATATTGGCCTTCAGCTTCTGGCTAGAGAAAGACCAAGGACATTGCTCAACCACTGAAAGACATTACAAATAGCTTTCAATAGAATAGAATTCTCTTTAAAATTACAGAATTGCTGGAGAAAAAATCAACTTAAATACACCTGTGTACTGCTTAGTGTTCTGTCAGTGGGCTATACTATATAAATACTTTTAAGAGACAGGAGGTAATTACTGCAAAGTCCTGCACTCCTTTGTTCAGATGAAGTGATATTTTAAGGCTACAGTATTCTAGATTATTTTCCTTCAAAAGAGTAAGACCTGCCTACAAAATTACTTCTACCTTCTTACTAACAGACAGCTTGATTCAATAAACAGGAAGTGAGAGCTGAGACTTTTTTCCATCCTGCTTACTTTGAATTATAAAGCTCAAAAATCTAGATATATAACCTGTGAGCAACATTAGCTGTGCTGGCACCATCATTGAAAACCTGATGGAAAAAGATTTTCTTAATTTATGAACTAACATTCTCAAATGTTAATTTTGGAATTAATTCAGCAGATATGTTGAAATATCTTTTCTGTGGGCATCAGAAATCCTGACTGCATGTTTTATTATTCAAAATCATGTTTTGAAGAATACATGTTTGTAAGTCATGACACAAGCTATTTTCTCTGATAAAAGGCACTAAGTAAATGCTCTTAGTGCAGTCAAAAGGGAATTACAGTTGTACAAAACCCAGAGCGTGGTGTGATCAGGCTTTCTGTTTTTCACATTAGTACTTTTGCCAGTCAGGAAGGCTGCCAGGCATTGTTATTGTCTCCTAAATACAGCTGAATTCATCCCCCTTCCCTTTTTTATTGATTTTCTTCTCAAGAGGGCATCTGCCAGGTGATTTTAAAGGAAAAACAAGGGAAAATCCAGGCAGACTGAGGTCTCTCCAATTGTAGAGGAGCTACAATTCAGTTGAGACTTTCAAGAGCCTTCCAGCAAAGTAAGACTATGGAAACAAGATCGAGCAGTTCCCTGTAAGGGCAAGAGAAATTTCTGTGTAAGTCATTGCTCCTCCTTTCTGCTAAGCCAGCTTCAGTGCCAGGTCTGATGAAGATGATCAAATGTAATGGATTAGTACATATGTCCTGGAAACTAAACACACGATTTGACTAAAGCAAAGTTGCAACTGAAACCAACTAGCAGGAAAAAGGATGGAGATTCAGCAAAACCTGATCAGCCTGACTGCCACACTATTTTCCTGTCTCCACCCACCACAACTCTAATGGTCCTTGACAGTCTAGTTCTTTCTGAGAAGGGCAAGTCTGGCAGTAACAGCAGACAGGAACACAATGGTGCTGCATCAGCAGGAAATTTGAGCAGATGGTTAAATCCTAATTCTGCTGAGCTCCACAGTGTATATTCTAAGCATAACTTAAAAGTTTTCCTAACGATAACTGTATAATACACAGGATCATGTATTACTGTGCTAGATAAACAATACTTAGAAAAAGGCAAAATAATAAACTGCAATATTGTAAAAAGCCATTGGTAAGGGCATACGAGCTTTCTGTGAATATACAATGTCTTTGAGCACAAAATCCAGGTTTTAAAAAGTGTCTCTGCACTCCAATGTTCTTCAAATAGCTGCCATTTAAAAAACAAGGGAACATTATAAGAAGCAAATATTATGTGGGCAGGGAAAGACTATACTAACAAAGTAAAATATATTGTTAGATACTGGAAAAAAAGAAAAGGTCATGACATTGTGCAAGACCACACATTTCCTCCCACACTTCCCTTTTTGCATCCAGCCTGAATTGCCTCAATGCTGTCTCCCCCATGGCAGTGAAGTCCCCACCGAGGACCACTGCAGGAGTGGAAGCATGTATGAGAATGCTGTGATGAATTTAAGTGTACATTAAGTACATATTCACAAGTTTGTGTTTTGAAAAATGTTTAGAGTTTGCAGTTTCCTGTGCTATCTACAGGAGGTAACCTCCCCTTGCATTATCCTGCCAGAACAAGTTACTTTGAAGACAGAGGAAAAATAAAGACATCAGTGGTGTTTAAAAAGGTTTAATGGCAATGATTCCAAGTTGACAGCTGTGTTTGCCATGAACTCAGTGTCTGCAGGAGCTGGGACTGTCATTTGAAACAACTCAGGCAGCCATTCTGTGAGTGCACAGTCAGCTTGGAGCTAAATGATGGTTAGGGTTCTACCACACTTCCTTTCCTTTACTGTTCTTCCTTACCTACCTTACCTACCTTGCCCACCCTAAATTCAGAATAGACTCTCTTAGTCTAAAATAGTCTCATTTTAACTTAAAGCTTGTTTTCCTCTATCAAGTATGAAAACAAAAAATACATCTTGCAGTGTTTAGAGCAAAAATAAGATACATTTTACCTTTTGAAGCATTGCATTGCCCTGGTGACCATTGACATTGTGGTGGCTGATCTCTCTTTTGTATTGATATTCATAGACCTGATTAGTTACATTAATGAGCAGAGTGGATGGCCCAGATTTCAGCTTTTCACATTCATAAACAGTCCCATTTTCAACATCTGGTGATTTTGTCACATATCGTATAATTAGTCCCATTACAAGGCCTGAAGAGTAAAGAAGAAAAGAAAAATGAAAGATATTCAGGTATTTGATGCCACACATTTAGAGAAAAATTAGCTCTGCCAAAGCTAGGATACCTTCTCATTGTTTCCACATTTACAGAACCTCTCTCAACACTTCATGGATGACCACAAAATATTCTTCCAAAACGGCCATTTCATTAGAATGCAGATGTTTCTTTGACATATGTACAGTCATACTCCTATTTTTGTGATCCAGTTGCTGGCATAATAATTAACTGAGTTTTTCATCCACTAAATTTTCAATAGTTATTTAGAGCAGGGAGATGTCTGCACAACTTATGTGCTGAACTAAGCATATAAACATCAGCTGTGCTGTTGGGCATTTTATACACTTCATTTGTGGGGACAAAACTCTGACACTTCCCCAGGCACATTCTGCTTTCTGTAGAAGACTGCATTTTTGAGACTGCATAAACATACTAAAATAAAATCAGGAAGAAGGGAAGAAATATAAGACTATCTACAATTTAGGGCTCTTACTGAAGACAGATATTTTGTTTCTCTTTACATTTAACAAAAAGGAAAATGTACTTCTGCAGCCATCCTCTGGATGGTATGGCTCTTTCTGTTGGCTCTAATGCGAGGCTGCATGTTTACTTTAGGAGAGGTAATATTTAGCTAGATAAGGTTACTGAGATTATTTCCACTCCCAGAGACTTTGATTTGGTTTTGAATATAATTGCCATATTTCTTTTATGTCCTGCATGCTTTAAATGCCATGTGTAGAATGAACAGCTTTACAGTTACTAATTATTAACACATTCATAAAATGCTAAGAATTCTCAGATGAAATATTGATGGAAGACACCTAAACATTTGGATAGTTATACTTACTATTAAAAGATAAGAAAGAAATTAAATTACACAAAATATCAGAGAAGCATCTGCAAAATATGATACAATTTCAGTTTTATCTCAATCAGAAGGGGATACAAGGGTTCACAAAGACCTTGAGAATCCTTGTTATTGCCACATCTTCTTCTAACAGAGACTCTTGAAACTGCAGATTCCTAACATACCTGTAAGTCAAGTTTTTTTGTAAATGTGTAACTTCTTGGAATGATGCTGAGTAACAGCTGTATTGCCTGTTTTAGTGTGTGCATGCATTTGTGCTTGTTTAGAATCTATTGTTTAGTATGCTTGCTTTCTGTAAATGATAGAGGATTTCAATAAGCTGTAGAAAATTCCAAGATTTCTTTCTTAAGTTACACAGCATTTGTGCAATAAATCAGATAATAAATCTAGCTGTAGTAAAAGACAGAATTCCTCAAAATGTTAGGGGAAAGTATGTATATGTAAAGGGAAGCAAGCACTGCATGTGCAGCTATGAAATAAGACTTCCACAGTGGTCAGCCCAGATGTCCAAAGTCATGAGTTGGAAACCAGGAAACCATTCATTAATTAAAACTGTCAGGGTTTTCAGCTTATTTTTATCAGATTTCCTCTAGAAGAATCACATATTTAATTTTTAAATTCAATTTCAAATACATTGAAAATTCAACTTAATTTGATGCTTGACCAAGACTTGATGTTTTTCATTCTCTGGAGCAGAAAACTTACAGGTTTTCCTTTACTATTTTTGTCCTTATGACTCAATGTTCTAAACTACAGCCTCTGATACACTCCTAATTCTAGGTATTACTTAATCTGCTCAGGTAACAAAAATATTTTACAGACATTCACCAAGGCCTGTGCAAGGACACTGGCAGAAAAAGACTATTGAAAAAGTGTTTTAAGCACATTTATTTAAATGCAGCATTGAAACAGAAAAGGGTGTCACTAATGTTACAGATTTCTTTAAAAAAGTTTCAACTGTCTTTTGAGGTTGGATCTTGCAGCAAAATCTCACTCTAACTACAGCTCAGTCATGTTTCAACTGAAGGCAATGCAGGTTTTCCAGGTTCTTCACTGGAAGCAGGATAAAATTGTTAATCATAGATGTGACCATTTTTTTTAAGTCATCGTGCCAAACTCCTGAGCTAAACAGGACTGTTCTTTCCCCAGATTTCATCTAGTCAGCTCTTAAATGCTTTCTGTAGTAATAACACTTGGGAATGCAGTTTTAGTCATTACTTGCTTTGTTAGAAACATTTAGGATTTTCTTTCAAATTTCTTTGTCACAAGAATGATGTTCCTCTCCACCTCACCACTACAAAATGTCAGTTTCTGCCTTAATTGTGATTTTCTCACACTGTCTTCTGAGTCCCAACAACCTTTATTCATTGTGAATTTTGTAATCAGGAAGACAATGAAATTCTCTTTTATTGAGGTTCAGAGATTCCTCTTTCTGGGACCTGTTCCATCCATTTCTGCCTGTGAGAATTAGGGATACTCAGAACACACCATCAGAAGGCAACTACTGAAGTTATTTCACATGAGAGGCATACTGAATTTAGAAGGTATAAGAATCATAGTGTTCTTCATGAGACATCTCCACCAAAGCTGAATCCAGAACTGCCTGTGCCTCACTTCCAAATGCACAAAACGGGATCCTCAGGAGGGGCTGCAAAGGGCTACTGTGAGTCAGCTTTCCCTCTGCACGCCTGTTAAAACCTGTCCCCTGAAACCTGGTGAAACACCTCTAACCTCTGCAACCCAAAGCCATTTTATGTGACCACCACAATAGCTCTTCTGTCATTCAGCCTTTTTATGTTTTCCCTCCAGTGTGATCAACTAATCCCATGGAGCACAACACTGAAGGCTGGTACATCTGCAACCAGCCTCACCTCCATCTAGGGGGTACAACCCACTCCCTAGGGGTGACAATTACTCAAGCTGAGAACAATTTCAATTTCAATTAGGTAATTAACCTCCCATATAAAAGGCAAAGCTTGGCTTGCTCTTGCTTTGGGTTTTTTTGTTAAGTTCAATTCTAGCTGCCTACTTGCAAGAGTGTTTCAGCCTCCTACTCAGAGCTGAGTGGTGATACTTCTATGTGAGCCTGATACCTGAATTTGAGGAGAATAAGGAATTTGGATAGTTGCACTCAGTTTTTCACTGTGTAGCTCTGGACTATTGCTGCACTAATGTGAAGGCTTACATCTTATATGGGGAATTTGGTACCTGATGGTTTATGGCTGAGGCATTTAAAGATGTCTGGCCTCACAGGAGGTGGCTGCAGGCAGTTTGGTGTTTTATTGACTCGTTGTGTCTTCTCCAGCACTAAGAGGCCACATTCTGGGGCCTGGTGTTGTGAGAGGGGTCACCTGCTCTGATCCCGGGCAAGTGGCTTTGTTTTAATCCGTGCTGGTGTAGATCATCTCCCACACTATTTCTGAATGTGCTCTGTATAGGAAACTCTCTCATACCCACCTGTCTCCCTGGTATACAGGAATCAGGAATTTAGTTGGGTTTACTATTTGTGGTCTGTTTATCAAACCAAACTACAATGTGCAGCAACACTTGTTCTCTGGAAAAGACTCAGGAAAACCAAGGAATGAATGAATGAACAGGTAAGTCTATACTCTTCCTTGCTGTGAGTGATTTTTCAGGTTGGTCACAAAACAAACAAAACAATTTGAGTCTTTAAATACTTTCAAGCTAAATGTCTTGCTGTATATATATACTTTATGAAATAATGTTGAATTAATTCTTGTGAATTAATTCTGCATTATTTGAAATGCTTTTTTTTTTACTTTGTAGAAAGATTTTAAAATTATATATAGCTATAGTTATTGTTGAACTATTGTTTTGATAAAATAATACACTTCAGTTATTAAAGTTTCTAAATGGACAGTATGGTTGGTTTTTTTTTTCCAGCTGGAACTATTCAGCCTAAAACTAATCTTCCTACAGAGCCTATGCAAAAAAAAAAAAAAAGCCAACCCACCCTTTCATTTGTTCTCTACTTTAAATAGAACTTTCTATCAGGCTGTGTTCAATTTGTGGCTGTTCAGCACTTTGCAGTAACTGTAAAACTTCCTGTTTTTGTCTTTCTATGTTTGGTTTTTTCCCCTGGTGTTCCCCACACTGCCTTCCCTGTCTTCTCCACAGCTACTCCCCTAAGGGCACAGCTGAGGAATATGGACCCACCTGTCATCCTGTGGGACACACTCTGCAATAAGTGCCCATATCCTGGCACTTGAAGCCAAATTATCCCTTCATTGTATTGCTGTTCACATAGCTGATAAATAGCTCAATGGGCTGGAACAAAGTAAACTGTAAGGACTGGGACATCTTTTTGTGCAGAAAAGGTAGAAATCAGAATTGTTTGGATAGGGAAGGCAAAATTGAGGGCAGCACTTGGAGTCCCACTGGTCAGTGCTTGGTGTCATGACTTTCTCCCGAAGTTGCTGCCTGTTGATCTGATCTGACCTCTTTCATGACCTCAGAAATTTTACTTTCTTTTCAATATTGCCATTCCATGGTATTAAAAATAACTAAACTCATATCCAAAATTTTGAAGGATAAGAAGGACATCATTAGCTTTTTGGATTCTACAGATAAGCTTTTTTCCCTGTTTGAAGGTTGCCATCAATAATGCAAGACTAAAGAGATAGTTTATTTACAATCATGAGGAATGTTTTAATAATTCAAAAGGTCTGTTCTGCTGGAGCAATAATCTCTTAACCAATCAAAATAATATGAGCAGGTTATTCTTATGACATGCAGAGTATGCTCTGAGAAGGCAGCAAAACAAAACCAAATGACAAATAAAACTCTAATTCCATACTTATTTTTGTTTTGTTGTATTCTCTCATATTTCATTTCTCTTCTGAATGGCTTTTGTCTACGCCTTCAGAAAATGCCATCAACTGCACATGGCAAATGCACAATAGTGAGAAGGAAGCTACTGGAGTAGGGGCACCCATCTTAACAAAATCAGTTTTGGGTATTACACTGCTAGAGGATGTGGTGTGCACAGAATGTGCTAGAACAGGCTGGCACTCAGGTAATGACTGAGCTGTTGATTTCTGTCTTCCATTTTGACAGTTTGCCCTCCTGTATGTATCTTATGGCAGCAGAAATGGCAGTAGAGTCTCAGAGTGAAACAGCACTAAGAGAATGACAAGAGAAACCCTTACATATGTGTGTACCATTGAACCTGGGAGTACTTAGGAGACAATGCAGAGTTCTGTGTGAGAGTGAAATACAACATGGCAAAACTTCAAGAAAGGTCAGAACTAGATAGGCAAACTAAAGTTACCCTACAATGACAGCATTGAGAGCAAACTTGAGACACTTTCTTCAGTGTGTTTTGCAAAGGCATAGGGCAAAGCCAAAAGAAAGCTCTCAAGATCATTTAAACTTTATTAGACAACGTCTGTATCCACAAGTCTCCTTAGACTAACAGCTTTGAATGTTATGAAACCCCAAGCAAACTGTTTTTGTAAACATTAAACTCCCCAGCTCTCTGCTGTCTGACCACAGAATGCACTTGCTGAGGGGTAACCAGCTCGTCACAGTTGCTCCCTTATCAAGGCAGCCTCTGGCTACTTCAGGAGAGATGCTGTCACATCATTATTTTACCGTACAATTACGGAGCTGATGACATTTAATTCAGCACATTTCTGAGCTTTGTCAGCACTTGATCTCAAGTACCTGATCATAAATATGCAACTAGTCTGATGTTATGCTGGCACTTGAATTTATACTCACCATAAAGCATAGCTCCTCCAGTTTCATGCAGAAAGCGGAATCGATGGTTTTTAAACAACCAAATTGTTAATATTGTAAGAATGAGTAGAAAGTTAAAGATTAGCAGCTCCACAGCCCCCTGATGATAAAAATTATCTTCATCTTTCACTGATACATATTTCTTCAACTTCTCCATTTAATTCCTTTTATAGAAAGTATGTGGAAAATAAAAAAAGAAGAAAAAAATCACAGGAAGGAAAGTCTTGTCACCTTTAGTACAAAAACTCCAGACACTACAGAAACTCAGAGCAAGCACATCTGTTTCATTTGCAGCCTCATGGTAAAGTGCCCCAGCTCAGAATTCAGCTGGATTCTAGTTACAGCTTCCTGTTTCTCTCTTAAAGCTGCCCTGTCTCATTTTTAATGTTACGATTGTGTTGCTGGACTGCGCTTGCTCTGGCTTTGGATGCACAAACTGCCTCCAAGGCTCAGACTCGCGTTTCTAAAATTCTGTTGTAAAACTCAGCGTGTGTTCATAATGTTTTCTTCCTGTAGTTTACAGCCCAATCTGAATCCTAGGAGATCTACTTTTAATTCACAGTTTAGGATGGAAAAAACTATGTTAGAAAAATGGCATAACAACCTTTACTACATTTTGGAAGTTTAAGAACCTTTCCCCTGTCCCACTTTCCCATGTTTAAATGTAAATGACATAGAATAAAGGTGACATTTTACTGTGGTGCAAAGACAAAAGAAGACAAATCAATGGATAAGGATTTCAAGATTTAGGCACTTGTATTGATCCTGCCAGAAGACAGATCTCTGTAAAAGCAACGGTCCAACTACCTAGAATTAGAAGTACTTAAACCCCCCTATTGAACTAAAAATGAAGTGGAATATACTTTTCATCATTTCTGCTGTGAGCATGTTTTTATTTATTCAATTCATTATTCCATTAAGCCAGAAAAATAGTAGAAAAACTCTGTGTATAGCAAACACTCCTGGACTTTTCTCTCTCTGCTCAATGCTGCAATGCATTTACATACAGAGAATTTCAAACAGGTTCTAATCTTCGTCAGAAAAAAATAGCAATTCTACTTACCATTATAAAAAATAATCTCATTATTTGAAGTTAAAATCTCATAACTTTAGTTTTTTAATTGTTTTAAAAAATTTTAATACATTTTGGAGAAAACTAATTTGTATAAAATCCAGTCCATGCCAGGTAGGTGTCAAAGGTGAATAACTCAGGAATACCCAGCTGTCCATACTCTCAGTAATTTTGGGGCTGTAGCTCATAACAGAGAATGTTCCCAGGGAGGTACTGTTTCTTTAATCAGTCTAAATATTTTGCTCTTGATAATCAATCAGTTCTGTCCCCTGCATAAGCAAAATTCATCCCCTTTACAGATTTCCCCTTTTTTCTTTCACTTTGTAAGAAAATTATTTTCCTTCTATTTCTTTTTTAATTAATGCTTTTTATTTGCTTACCAGATATTTTTTCAGTCTCTATCAGTGGTTTCACTTTGTTCTCTACATGTTTCACTATTTTCTCTCCTTTGTGTTTCCCTTATTTTCTCTTTCTTTTTGTTGCTTTACCTTATAATCTGCAAACTCAGTCAGGGTTGTTTAAGTCAAAACCGCATTTCTGAACTAATTTTCAAGGGACTCTCTATGAGATGCAAAGTTGGCAGAAAGCAGATGACACCTCCCAAATTAACGAACTGTGCAACTCAATTTTAAGCAAGGGTAACAATGCTAACCAGTATTTTTTGAGAATTATGCAATACTGTATTTTGAATTAAAAAATAATGTAAGGGAATCGAGTGTAGCAATTTCATTATACAACTAATGCAACTGTTTTAAAAAAATGCTAGTCACATAGCCAAGGCCTGTAACTTTCATAGAGGTCAAAATATAAAGGCTTGATGGGGTTTTCATATTCTCAATTTGGAAATGACAGTGACCTCAATTTTGTGAGTCTGATCATCAATCCCCAGTGTGGAAGTATCAAAAGCAAGCAAAAAAAAATCAATTGAAAATAATCACATTCTGTTTCTTTTGCAATAAAACCCAAAGATTTTTTTATTATAAAAGCTAATTATTTTCCACCCTGTGAAGTAAGTAATTTGCAGGCACTTATAATAAAATCAATGGAGGAGCAGCCCAAAACAGTGAAATAAGGTAATTTTATTCTGAAAATCTTAGTGATTGGAATATTCACTTCAAATTTGGAAGACTAGGCTCAGGCTTTTATTTGAATTTACCCAAACTCATATTTTTCAGCAAATAACAAGGACTTCCTAAGTCTTACTGCTAGAGCAGGTGTAATATGAAATATTTGAAACACATAAGTGTTAATTTCCAAAGCTTCCTTTTCTCTTTTCTCTTTAAATAGGGTTATGATTCTGTCTTATCTCAAAAGATAATGTGATGCATTTGTGAAGCAATCACATTTTACAGCAATTTGCACCAGATCAGAGCTTGAATGAAAACAGAATTTCAGATTTAGTATCAGGCTTGCAGGTGTTGGACTTGAGGCTTAAATTCTACCAAAGCTCCTTATAAAATTTTGGGAAGGTCTGGTTCTAAACAGTACTCACCATGTTACAGGATTGGGGTTTCAGGTGTTGCTTTCCTCTCAGAGGTGTAGGACAGATTCAAATCGGCTTTCCAGGCCCAGCCACTCATCATAGTTGCAGCTTCTGAGGAACCCAGAAACGACATCTAAAAACTGTTGTTTTTCTTTGCATTCTCAACCATTGTATTAATTATTACTATACACTATCTGATATATGCCAAAGATATGAAGATTAAGGCAGGATAACCGTTCCAAAATGTTTGTAATGATAATTTTATACATGCATTGTTGGGGGAAATATATTGGAATTAAGTGGACCTTAAGAATGCTTTTTGCTTTTGATAATCTGGTGCCATTTGGCACCTACAGGCTACTTAGAGGGATTCAAATATTCAGTGTCATACTTGGAGAAGAGATAATGTGAAAGCTGTGGGTAATAGAAGAGCCTGTATGAAATGTTTCAATACTGTTAGTTTTGTTACACCTTATCCTGACTGGTATGGCTGTATTATTGTTCTTTGTATGGCATGTGATTTTATTAGAAGTGCATAGAGCCAGAAACCTCTTGAGCTAAATTAAGCCAAATCACCTCTCCAGTGTTTCTTTAGCCAATTTTTGCTATGTACAGTTTTGTAAAGAAGGATGAGTCTGAGTGAAGTAGGAGAAGCTCTACTAAGAAAATAGAGCTACCCATGGAAAATACACAGAAAAACAGTATGGACACAGAAATCTGGGTTTTGCAATAAGGTCTTACTTGGAAAACTGTTTGCAATGTTACCAGGTAATTTGATTTTTTTTGTGCTCAGGTCTTTCCACATTATTTCAGGTAAACCTATTTTTAGGGGTATCCAGGCCCTTCAGCAATTTCCCTTCCTAAAAATGGAATAACTTCTCTCCAGGTTTTGGTTGGTTTGCAGGTTAAATAGGAAAACAATCTGTTGCAACAGCTGCATCATATTTCCAATATTGATAACAGATGATAAATTAAGAAGGAAGGGAACTTGATAAAATAGAAAGGTACAGTTTGGCTTTAAGAGCAGGCTAGTGGGTGAATGAAGAAAGTTTTCATGGGGAAGATATTTTGAACATTACTTAACAGGTGAAAGAGACAAAACAAGTGAAAGTTTCTGTGGAAGGCAGTACAAGTAATTCTCATAATACTGTGTTTTTACTACAAATAGTATTTGATTCATCTCCTCTGGCATGTAATTTTAATGAACAAGAGGTCTTATTTTCTGAGTCCACCTTATCAACTCTATGGATTTCACAGAACAATAATCCTTAGCTTGGCATGTAGAAGTCTGCTCTAACAGAAACTATCAAGATGGAGTAGAAAGCAAGAGGAGTCTTGTAAATCAGTAGAGGGATTCTCACCTTGGAAGATATAAAGTCAGAAAAGGAGCACAACGTAAAAATTGTAATAAATTATAGTTAGTGGTAATTCCAAGCAAAGACACAATGCTTTAGCACCACTGGCAATTCTGCAAGCATAGGAAGAATACAGGCAAGAGTAAAAGCAAACATTGAAAACAAGTGCATCTGTATATATAATTAAAAGATCAAACCAACTCTGAAACTGAGAAATCAACCACTTTGTGAGTACACAGATAACAAATGTTCTGTCACAGCTTGCTTGCCTAAAATCCCCAGACAGACTGAAACAGGATTAGTGGGATCACAAGTGGTTATCCTTCTCTAATCCATTCCAGCCACGAAGATCTGCCTTGCTAGCTCCTGCTCTGATGCACAACTGCCCAGGAAATACTGTGGGCTAAGGCCACTTAAGGCCACTAAACCCACAGTGGTGGGCTAAGTGTCATTTATAACTGCCAGGCCTCTGTGCATTTTGAAATCTCTTCTTCTACTGCTTAGAATAGTCTTCCTATGAAACCAGTTTATTTGCTGGTTGCTATTCATCCTGTTCTCTCTTTTTTTCTGAGCTCAGACTCTGGTTTTTCTTATTTGATAGTGCTGGTATTCAATCTACATGGGTCACAGAGCCTGCAGAGACAAATCCACATAATCTATATATCTTTATGTTGCAGCTATTACACTTAGCTGAAAAATAGCTTTAAAAATAATTTCTGCTTACTGGAATACAGCTTTCTATCCAGAAGGTAAAGTCTGTTTTGGTGTTTGCTTTTCCTTCCTTGGTTCAGAGCCTGTTTTACTGGCTTATTAAAATACCGTACTAATTATGATGAATATACATTGAATTGAGTGGAACTGAACTTTTAATCTCTGAAGACTTGTGATCCTTCTGCTAATATGTCACTGTCTAGAGGCATCGTGTCAACACGGGAAAATCTTCTCTCCCCTTAAAGCATGACTAAATTTGATGCACACTGTGATGTAACAACCATCTCATCATGCTGGAATCTTCCTTCAGAGACCAAATTCAGTTTAGACTGACCTGAAATGCTCATGTGTGCTTTTCTCACTGAGAAAAATGCCAGCATGTCTGAAGAAATAAAAGCTTTGAAAGACAGAAAGCACTTTAGTTCTAGGAATTGTTATAGGAGAGTTAGGAGAGTTAATCTGTTCCAGTTTAGACAGTTTTAGCCATCAGGTTCAGAACTAAATGAATTCTTACAAAATTGTGGAAAACTGGTATTACCTGTTTATGCAGTTTAAATTAATCCACACAACTGAATGTCAGGATTATGAAGGAAGTATTTCCAAGTTTACTTCAGTGGGTTTAATGCTCATTTCCAGCTTGAACGGCTGCCTGTAGTATTTTTTTAAATATTTTAATAAACTGAAAAACAACCAAGATAATTTT